GAAACAGAACTGGACTGAAGTCTAGAGTTTCTAGTTTTGGGAACAGAGCTGGACTGAAGTCTGGAGTTCCAAGTTTTGGAAACAGAGCTGGACTGAAGTCTAGAGTTCCTAGTTTTGGAAACAGAACTGGACTGAAGTCTAGAGTTCCTAGTTTTGGGAACAGAGCTGGACTGAAGTCTAGAGTTCCAAGTTTTGAAAACAGAGCTGGACTGAAGTCTAGAGTTTCTAGTTTGAAACCTAGTTTTGCTACACACAAACCAATCTTGAGCATTTGAGCCAGCTATTCTTGGGCCTTGGTTTCCTCATCTGCAAAATCAAGGTGATACAGTAAGACTGGAGCAGCAATTCTCACACTTGGTTTGCATCACCATCACCTAGAGGGCTTATGCGAGCCTAGACACCTGGTGTCCACCTCCAGACTTTCTGATTCAGTATCAAAAAGCAAGGAGAAACTGGGAATTTGCTTTTTTTTAGTGTCAGATGGTGTCTCACTCTGTCACCCAGGTTGGAGTGCAGTGTGGCGCCATCTTAGCTCATTGCAACCTCCACCTCCCGGATTCAAGTGATTCTCCTGCCTCAGCCTCCAGAGTAGCTGGAATTACAGGTGCAGGCCACCAAGCCCAGCTACTTTTTATATTTTTAGTAGCGATGGGGTTTCACCATGTTGGCCAGGCTGGTCTCGAACTCCTGACCTCAAGTGATCCGCCTGCTTCAGCCTCCTAAAGTGCTGGGATTATGGGTGGGAGTCACCATGCCTGGCCAGAATTTGCATTTCTAACAATTACTGAGACGATGTTGATGCTGCTGGTTCTTGTACCTCTCTATGGGAACCACTGCTCTTGTTCAATATTTATAAAACGAAAGCATCTTCAGGTGTCCATGAATTTATATGTATTTTTGTTTTAACTCTGATGATAATGTATAGAACATATATTGGTGCATTCTGGGTTATCTGAATAATTAAAGCTAAATAATGACGTTTTAGTCAGCAACTGACTTCATATATGACAGTGGTCCCGTAAGATTATAATGGAATTGAAAAATTCCTATTGTCTGGTGACACAGATGTTGCAATGTCGTAGTATAACACATTACTCATGTGTTTGTGGTGATGCTGGTGGTAACAAACCTACTGTGCTGCCAGTCATATAAAAAGTCTAGGGAGGCCAAGGTGGGCGAATCACCTGAGGTCAAGAGCCTGAGACCAGCCTGGCCAAAATGGCGAAACCCTCTCTACTAAACACACACTAGCCAGGTGTGGTGGCACGTGCCTGTAATCCCAGCTATTCAGGAGGCTGAGGCAGGAGAACTGCTTGAACCCGGGAGGTGGAGGCTGCAGTGAGCTGAGATTGCGCCACTGCACTCCAGCCTGGGCGACAGAGCGAGACTCTGTCTTTAAAAAAAAAAAAAAAAAAAGTCTAGCACATACATTATGTACAATAGTAATTATGTACAGTAGTACATAATGGTTCAGAATAACTATGTTATTGGTTTATGTATTTACTATGCCTTTTGTCATTATTTTAGAGTGTATTGCTTCTACAAAAAAAAAAAACAAAAAAACAAAAAAAACCACCACGAACAACAGTTAACTGTAAAACAGCCTAAGGCAGGTCCTTCGGGAGATATCCAGAAGTCATTGTTATCACAGGAGATGAAAGTTCCATGCATGTTATCTTCCAGTGGGACAAGATGTGGAGGTGGAAGACAGTGATACTGATGATTCTGACCCGTGTAGGCCTTGGCTTGTGTGTGTGTTTGTGTCTAGGTTTTTAACAAGTTTAAAAGTTTAAAAAAAAAAAATGAAACACAGAAAAGACTTAGAGAATAAGGATATAAAGAAAAATATTCTTTGTACAGCTGTACAGTGTATCTTTTAAGCTAAGTATTATTATGAAAGAGTAAAAAAAACTTAAAAAAAATTAAAAAGCTGTATTCCTGAAAAAAAAAGTTTTAAAAATAAGTTTAGTGTGGCCTAAGTGTATAGTCATGTCCTAGGCCTTCACATTCACTCACCACTCACTGACTCCTCAGAGCAACTTCAGTCCTGCAAGCTCCATTCATAGTTAACTGCCCTATACAGGTGTACCTTTTAAAAATTCTTAATAGCGTATTTTTCTTGTCCCTTTCCTATGTTTAGATAACATAAATACTTACCATTGTGTTGCAACTGCCTACAGTATTCAGTAGAGTAATATGCCGTAGAGGCTTGCAGCCTAGGAGTGAAAGGTTCTACCACCTGGCGTAGGTGAGTAGCAACCTATACCATCGAGGTTTGCACAGTGACAGAACAGCCTGACGCTGCATTTCTCAGAACGTAGCTCTCTGTCAAGCAAGGTATGATTGTACTACTGAATTTCAGTGTCAGCAACTGTGGTCTGGCATCTGTAGCATCGCCACACTCTGCCAGATTTACTGAATGCAGTTGGGCCTACTGTGCGAATAATGAATTTGCATTAAGTGAAGGTCCAAAATCATATTAAAGTTGCATAAACAAAGATTTCATAGTAATTTAAATTTTAAAAAAGGAGCAGAAGAGTTGGGTCATAACCCAATAATAGAGTTTACTAATAAGCATGCCAAATGCAAACAGTGATTCGAGTAGTAACTCTGCATGCCGACATGTAAAGTGCAAAAGAGTCTTGCGCCTCAATAATCAGAGTCCCACCTCATCTTGTACACAAAACATCATTATCCAGGTCATTACATTTATCTTGTTATTTGAAAACACTTTTGGTTTTCTACTCAATTTGTAAATATCACTGGTTTGATAGTTGAAAAAAGCTATGTACAAAATGAGTTTATACCTAGTTCTGTACATACCTTTTATGTAGAAGAAACAATAAAAAATACTTTAAGTCAACAATGGGGGGTGTTTCATGATACGGTACTGTTTTCCTTTACATTGCCAGCTCCAGTCTACCTGCAGTTTTTGTCTCTCAACGTGGAATCGGCCATCTACCATGTGAACACTACAATGTCTACACTGCCAGTATCCTCCAGGTCTTTGCCTCACTGTCTAGCTGTCACCAATGCTTGGCAAGTCCTTAGTCCTGGATGAACCCACTGTCTACTCTCCTTACTTCCTGACTCAGTTTGCTAAGTAGCTCTCAAGAAAATCATGTGACATGCAGGTTGGTACCACTATGAATGCATGGTCCTGGCCTCAGAACACCCTCATTGCTTCCTGTCAATCCTGCAACTTCCTGGGTCTGCCTTGTTCCAGTGCTGTCAACAATTCATTTAAAGATCTTCCACTCCTGAACTCCTAATGCTTTTACCTCCTTGTTCCCACTTCTCCCCATCTCCAGAAAATGAACTTGACTACTCTGCAGAATAAATAAAAGCCATCAAGTAAAAACTTCAAGTTTCTGTCACTACAGATATATGAGTGTCACCCTGTTCTTTGTCCCACATCTGTTACTCCTATCTAAGGCTAATACTGTATTCCATCAACTCGAAGACGCACATCCCTTCACAGGTTACCATCACTTACATTGGGATGTGTCTTATAGTGGATGACATGTCAGTGCACAGGCAGCATATTTTCCTTTCTTAATGGTATGTGCAATACCGATATGTCACAATCAATGGGGTCAAAGAGGCAATGCAAGGGGGCACCCTCCAAACCTCTGGATCCTATCTTAGGGACTTTGCGTGTCCTGGGTCTTCAACTCACAACTCTCTCCAAAGTAGATATGAAGGCCCAAAACATAAGATTGGGTCTTGGATCAATTCCTTGCTTTACAAATATTTCTCTATTTTTTTTCTAGCCAGAGTTTTAATGAGGGAACCGAATATAAAAAAGAAGAGGAGTGTGCGGAGTGAAAGAAATTGCATTTCCAACCTGTAACTGGCCCAGGGACTGTCTGGCTACTGTAATTAGCTCCTTCTCATTATCATTTGAACACGTTCAAATCTTTAATCTCTTCACAAATGGCAACAATCACCTCTCTCCTGGACTCCACATTCTCCTCCAGCTCCTCCCACTCTCTCCTGTCCTCCTGCAAACCTTCATGGAAACTGACTACCCAAGGCCATAATTTCTTCCTTGCTGCTAAAATCCAAGGCCATGTTATCTTTTGACCCCTCAGTCTTTAGACCAAAAGACCCCTGAACTGTCTTTATCAGCAATGACCACTCCTGCCTTCTTGCCTGTCTACTCCTCCATGCTGTATTTCCCGTCCCCCTTGGCAGGTTTCCTTTTATGCCTTCGTTGTCCACTCTTTTATACTTGATACAGTTCAAAATCAACATGTCCCATATACTCATCGGCTTTCTTGCCTCGCCCTTCTGAATATTTCAATCTCTCCTACATCTCATCAATCACCAAACCTTGTCATTTATATTAATAGCTCCTAAATACCCTCCACCCTCAAATATCACTCAGTTTCATCCATCTATTTTCATTCCAACTGTCACCATCAGAACCTGGGCACCCTCATCTCTTAGCTGCAATACTATAAGAGACTTTCTAATCCACCATCTATACTGCAGCCACTGTGATCCTTCTGAAATGCAGATTTCTTCCCTGGTTTAAAACTCTGAGGTCTTTTAACGTTCTCAGAATAAAATCCAAACTCTCTGCAAGGTCCACGTGGTCCTGAGCAGTAAGACTCCCAGCTCCCCAGACTTAGCTTTGAGGTTCAGCAAGTGCTAAACTCCCCTGTGAGCTGCTTGCTTCTTCATCTAACCACCACGTTTCATCAATTCTAGGGCACATTTCCTAACATTTCAACATTTCTGAAATTGGGATGCA